TTCAGCCAGGTCACGATCTCGCGGTCCATGAGTTCGAGCCCCGCGTCGGGCTCTGGGCTGATGGCTCAGAGCCTGGAGCCTGTTTCCGATTCTGTGTCTCCCTCTCTCTCTGCCCCTCCCCCGTTCATGCTCTGTCTCTCTCTGTCCCAAAAATAAATAAATGTTGAAAAAAAAAAAAATTAATACAGAGGGATCCCATGTACCATGTGCCCACTTTCCCCAAGGTGACATCTTGCAAAACTACAGTACTCCACGGTCCTCCTGGACATCTTTGATAGCTGAATTCTGCTCACTTACTTTTGTGATTCCACCTTTAATCGGTTTAAACATTTCAGAGACGATTATTTTACATTGTATTACAGATAATTCTCATACCTGAAGTCCTTCAGGCTCTGAATCCAAGTATTGTTTCTACTGCCTGTCATTTGGGGGCTGTGTCCTTTTTTAGTTTTAGTTTAGTTTCTGGTTGGTCTTCGCCTTTAGAAAATGGAGAGTGAAAATTGGGGAGATTTTCTTTCCTCTAGAGAGGGTGGGTACCTGCTTCTTTGGAAATACATCTAGGAGGTGTCACTGACCCAGGACCACCAGGGCTCCTTTCATAGGTCAGGGCTTAAGCTGCGATGTCCCTTTCAACGCCCTGTCCCCACCCTGCTCTGCACTTGTTCTCAGAGAAAACCCTCCTGCCCGGTGCTTAGCTGTCACCATTCAGGGTTGTGCTTATTTTTCATTTGGTTTTGTTTTTCAGGCACTTTGTTGTTTTCCTTACTGTCTATGAGTCCAGCGATGCAAAAACTTGAGAATCATGCAAAATCTGTTGTTCTGCACCAGGCGGGGGGGCTCCGATGATCTACTAGTCCGCCATGCTGCCGAAAGTTCTGTGTTCAGTTTTGAGGGGTGCGGGCTGGGTACCCAAAAATCGGATATGTAACTACTTGCCCTAGTTATTCATAGAAAACACACACTCACATATACAGAGGTTCGTGGTGTAAATTCTATGTCCCTTTCTTGAAATTGTATCTTGAAGATGGATTATAATGACCCAGCAGTGAAGCATGCATAAAAGCTCAAGACCGGAGGAAATGGGTTATAGAAAGTCAGCAAACAAAAAAGAACATAGATGTTCAAACCATTCTTTCAAGTTTAGTTTCTAAATTAGATTCACTGTGTATAGAAGGATCCCATTTCAATACAACTGTGTAAAAATGCATCGAAAATTCCTTTTGAGGCTATATAGAAAAACCACTGATGGCAGTTACATCCGGAGATCGGGGCAAGGTCTACAAAAAAAGGAAGACTGGGTTTTTACTGCAAAACTTTTGTAGTGTTGGGGTTTTGTTTCCATATTGGGTAGATTTTTCATCATGAAAAAAAGTATTGTGTATGAAAACCTAAAGTAGCTGTCATAACTAGGAAAATTTGTTTTTTTGAAAATTTTTAATGTTTATTTTTGAGAGGGAGAGAGAGAGACAGAGTGCAAGCGGCGGGGGGGGGGGGGGGGGGGGGGCGTGGTGGGCAGAGAGAGA